TCTAGGCATAGACCTGGCTCGGATGCCACTGTTGGGGAACGTAGCATGCAATTTCAAAAAAAAATCCTATGATCACACAAGATCTATCCAGGAGATGCATAGCAACGAGGCGGGGAGAGTGTGTCCATGTACCCTCTTAGACCAAAAGCGGAAGCGTTAGGTTAACGCAGTTGATGTAGCCGAACGTCTTCACGATCCAACCGATCCAAGTACCGAACGTACGGCACCTCCGTGTTCAGCACCTCCGTGTTCAGCACACGTTCAGCTCGATGACGTCCCTCGAGCTCTTGATCTAGTAGATGGTCGAGGGAGAGTTCCGGTAGCACGACTGTGTGGTGACGGTGATGGTGATGTGATCCGCGCAGGGCTTCGCCTAAGCACTACGACACTATGACTGGAGGAGTAAACTATGGAGGGGGGCACCGCACACGACTAAGAGATTTCTTGGTGTGCCTTTGGGGTGCCCCCTGCCCATGTATATAAAGGAGGGGGGAGAAAGGTCGGCGGCCAGGAGGGGCGCGCCATGGAGGAGTCCTACTTGAACTCCTAGTCCAAGTAGGATTCCCCCCCCCCCCTTTTCCTTTCTCCACCGAAGGGAATAGGAAGGAGAGGGAGAGGGAAAGGGAAGGGGGGCGCCGCCCCCTCCTCCTTGTCCTATTTAGACTCCCTAGGAGGGGGGCATGCGGCCACCCCCGCGGGCTTCCCTCTCTCTCCCTTAGGCCCATGTTGGCCCAACACTTTCCCGAGGGTTTCCGGTAACCCCTCGGTACTCCGGAAAAATACCTGAATCACTCGGAACCATTCCGATGTCCGAATACTACCTTCCAATATATGAATCTTTACCTCTCGACCATTTCGAGACTCCTTGTCATATCTGTGATCTCATCCGGGACTCCGAACAAACTTCGCTCACCAAAAAACATAACTCATAATACAAATCATCATCAAACGTTAAGCGTGCGGACTCTACGGGTTCGAGAACTATGTAGACATGACCGAGACACATCTCCGACCAATAACCAATAGCGGAACCTAGATGCTCATATTGGTTCCTACATATTCTACAAAGATCTTTATTGGTCAAACCGCATAACAACATACGTCATTCCCTTTGTCATCGGTATGTTACTTGCCCGAGATTCGATCATCGGTATCCTCATACCTAGTTCAATCTCGTTACCAGCAAGTCTCTTTACTCATTCCGTAATGCATCATCCCACAACTAACTCATTAGTCACATTGCTTGCAAGGCTTATAGTGGTGTGCATTACCGAGAGGGCCCAGAGATACCTCTCCGATACACGGAGTGACAAATCCTAATCTTGATCTATGCCTACTCAACAAACACCTTCGGAGACACCTGTAGAGCATATTTATAATCACCCAGTTACGTTGTGACATTTGATAGCACACAAGGTGTTCCTCCGGTATTCGGGAGTTGCATAATATCATAGTCAGAGGAATATGTATAAGTCATGAAGAAAGCAATAGCAATAAAACTAAACAATCATAATGCTAAGCTAACGGATGGGTCTTGTCCATCACATCATTCTCTGATGATGTGATCCCGTTCATCAAATGACAACACATGTCCATGGTCAGGAAACTTAACCATCTTTGACTAACGAGCTAGTCAAGTAGAGGCATACTAGGGACACTCTGTTTTGTCTATGTATTCACACATGTACTAAGTTTATGGTTAATACAATTCTAGCATGAATAATAAACATTTATCATGATATAAGGAAATATAAATAACAACTTTATTATTGCCTCTATTTCCTTCATATTTGGTGTCTTTGGGGCAACACTCTTCTTCATCTTCTTCTTCCTCTTCTAGAATGGCATTGGCCTTCAAGGCAAGGTTGGGCTTCTTTGACCGTTGGACACGAGCTAGAGCGTTGTCAGCGGTCTTGTTCAAGATGTTCATTTCAATGAACTCATCCAACACTTCACTTGAGGACATGGTGTGGAAGTCCAGTATTTAATGGATCACAGAGGACATGCTCTTGTTGAAAGGCATGATGGCCTTGAGGAACTTGCGCTTGACCCAAGTGTCATCATTGTCCTTGCTCCCATGGTCTTGGAGTGAGACCGCAAGAGTGGTCAATCTCCGGTAAAGCTCACGAGGATCTTCATCATCCTTCATTACGAACTCATCGGCCTCATCAAGTATGACCTCAAAGTTGGAGCGTTGAATGCTCGAGCTTCCCTTGTACAAGGAGATGATGTGATCCCATGCATCATTTAGCTCGGGTGAATGGCCGCAAGTGAGAAAGCTCTTCCGGAGGCATTGCAGCTTGAAGAATGAATAATGCAGAGTGATTGAGTTGATTTTCATCTTCTCTTGCTGACATGTTGTTTGGATCATGGGGGTAGAAGCCTTGCTCAATGACTGTCCAAAGTTGTGTTGAGTTGTGATTCAAATGATACTTGTTACGAAAACCTAATCATGAAAGTTATTCAAGTCAAGCTTAGGAGGAGACCCATGAGTGTTGATATGAGGTGAGGGAACCAGCCCTCCATAGACCGGGGGCAACCGCGGCATGGGTGCCCGACCCACTCTTTCCTTGAGGAGTGGGAGGTTTAGTGCCATTAGCTGCATCCCTGAGGGAGTTGGCATCCGTATCCGAGGAAGTAGGATAGACCACTATCTTAGGATCGGTGGGAGGTTGTTTTATGGCGGAGGTCGTGGGCATCCGGCCACCAAGATCTCCATCGGGCTCTTCTCTTCGTGCTTCCGGCCTCTTGAGCCGCCGTAGGGCGGTCCTTCCCTTCTTGCTAGCAATGTCGTTGACTCTTCTTTGGACGACAGGGCCGAACAAACTCCGCGAACCAGCCCACCAATCATGGAGCCACCGTCTCAGGTACGGTTCGTATGCCGGCCTCTTTTAAATACGACGGTCGAATGGCCAAATCGAGCCTTGCCTGGCCTTTCTTCTCCGCCGCCACGTGCTCCGCCAGCTCTTTCCGGATCGATGGCACATGTGCCTCCCTTCGCACGAGAGTCATGGCTTTCGTTCCTTCCTCTTCCGGCCAAGGTGACCCGCTCGAGACCGTGTTGTCGCGCCTTCCTCATCCGCCCGAGTGGGGCAGCGATTGGGAGCGCTCTTCTGTTTCATGATTTCAATTGGAGCAGCTAGTGACGATGCGGCTTCTCCCAGAGTTTATCAAGGGATAGGGTCCCGTGGCCATTGCGCTGGAACTAGGTGGTGCACGCAGCGTTTATCCACCATGGGCTGCAGTTCCCACTCAACTCGTTCACCAGGGACGTGCTGGCCTTTTACGGGCTTCAACTGCATCATTTGACCCCGAGCGGCATCCTGCACCTCGCCAACTTTGTGTCCCTCTACTAGTGCTTCCTAGGCATCTGGCCCCACGTCGATCTTTTCTGATATTTTTTGAAGTGGTTCCCCACCTCAAGGACGGGGAGATACCTTCCTACGGCAGGGCCGTCCTTCAGCCCCGAGGGGGCTCTGACTACTTTGATTTGGCATTGGCCCCGGAGGTGGTGTCGTGGAAACAGGATTGGTTCGATGCCCCGAGGCAATCATGTGGAATTTGCAAGTTACGAGCAAAATCAAAATATACATGTGGTGTGCGCTACGATGGGTGATCCTAGGAATGTGTGTACTTGCTCATCGACATTTCAAAGTTTCACCATAGTGCCCGATTTGGAGGGATAGGGCTGAGGACATCAAATATTTATTGTTCACTTGCGGCGGGGCTCATAAGGTATGGAAGGCTCTGGGAGTTATGAATCATATTGAGAAGACTTTGATGGTAGATCGCTCTGGCTCAGTTGTTCTAGAAGAATTGTTGCGGTGGCCAGCTCAAAAATCTCCAATTCTTGGCCATCTTGGTCTTCATGAGATAGTGGGTGTAGACGCTTGGTATATATGGTGGAAACGTCATGAAGCGAAGAAATGGATTAAGGTAAAGACGCCCACAAGCTCAGCTTTCTCTATACATGCAATTGCATCAAACTATGGAAGTGGTACGATGAACATAAAGTTAACACTGATGCTGCTTTCTTTAATGATGGTTCGCGTGCAGTGGCAGCTATCATCAGAGACTCTAGAGGACAGGCTGTTGCGGGGCTGGCGGAATCCTTTATTCATGCACATGATGCTGCGTGGACGGAAGCCCTAGCGCTAGGACGAGGTCTTCAGTTAGTCCACACAGTCGGATGTTCGAGAGTGCAAATGGAATCGAACAGTCTAGAGATTGAAGCTTGCGAAGAAGAGAAGGATATCCGGGCACCTTACTTTGTTGTCCTGACTGATTGTTTTCAGGTTGCACATGAAATATCTGATTTGAAGTTTTAGCATTGCCCTCGGGAAGCAAACAGTTTGGCACATCTGGTGGCTACACATGTATATGATTCCCAGGTAGTTTTGTCGTGGGAGGATGAACCCCCTAATTTCATTTTACCGCATGTAATCAAAGAAACCTTTCGATCTTTACATGAAGTGCCAATAGGCTTTCCCCTCAAAAAAAAAAAAACTCACACTAGTTCCCATTCCCCTTCCCTAAGATTGCCAAACATGCTGTTAGTGCCACAATCACAACTCTTTTTGTTTCAGTGCTACCTAGAGCTGGTATTGGATAGTCTTTTTAGTTTCCCTTTGCTATTCTTTTTTTTTTTGTACATATACCTTTTATTTGATGAAAGTTACCATCAAACTATTGTTCTATGGTTTCAGGGCAAAAAAAAAACAATCAGACCTATATTACATGGTGTTTCTACACTAGACCGCCACATTTATAATCCAAAATTCAAGTTGAAACAAGAATTCTGACAAGCATATAGTGAAAGTTCGCTACAAGTCTTCAAATTCATGATAGCCTGAGCCCGAGTAAATCACTACATCACCTTAAGTCATACACCTACAAAATGTCAACAAGTAAAGCCTGATGATTCATTCAGCTCAGCAACGTTTTACAGTGCCAGTAGGCAATTGATCAATCACAAACAAGGCAGAAACTTGAGATTGATATCAACTCTGCGCCTCTCTTAAGCGAGTGATCAGTTCGTCCTACATATGGAAGGCCACCATTAGTGTTTATTTGGATGAGATGACAATTCCAAACTGGAAAATACATACACAAACAAAATATATTCAAAGGTACAAGAGCACGCTACAATACAATAGTAATACCTCCTTTTTTTTCTAACACACGTACTGGCTACAATACTATGAAATAGGACAAAAACCGTGACCTGGTACAAAATACTGTGAAATAGCACAAAAACCGAGATGTGCTAGCATTGTATGTAAAACAACAATATCAAAAAGCATCACTAGCACTGTCAGAACAGTTTGCTTTCCAAAAACTTTGTATTTCATCATTTTATTCTAGCAAACAAAATACTTGCATCGCTGATTTTTGGTTTTTGTCCAGCAATTTATCTTTACCTTGGAGGCTAAATTCTGCTAATAATTGCTGAATACACAAACATACTAGCATGCTAGATAGTAGGTAGATTTGTCAGAATGTTCGGATATGGCTTCTCATATTCTGAAATCACTACAAAATGAATTTTCAAGCATGTGGAGCATATTCAGAAATATCCAAGATGTCAAATGTACAAGATATATAAAGGGCAGCCCCAGTGCATGTAGCTCCCGCTTGCGCAGGGTCTGGGGAAGGGTCCGACCACTTTGGGTCTATTGTACGCAGCCTTTCCCTACATTTCTGCAAGAGGCTGTTTCCAGGACTTGAACCCGTGACCTCATGGTCACAAGGCAGCAGCTTTACCACTGCGCCAAGGCTCCCCTTCAAATGTACAAGATATATGTGATACTCAATTAAGTTCTTTTGAAGCAGAATTCAAATGGTTATACCATTGATCAAGATTTTTAATTCTACGAACTTTAAATTCAGAATAAGAAGTTTTAAGCATGTGCCTTTTTCCCCTTGGTTGTGAGGCCACTTTGTCGGAGAAGTGCACGCAACCTCTCTACGGTGAAGGACTGCAGTGTGTGCTGTGAAAAGCCAGATATTGCTTCATCTGCAAGATTAGAGTATCCATCAGAGTGAAAAAACAACATTGCTTATGCGCAAAAAAAAAAACCCGCTGCTATCGGGTTTTGGAAAAAGCAAAGAGCGCGCTAATTTTTCATCTTAAAATGCTAAAGCATGCCTGGTTAACAAACATACTGCTTATTCTTCAATGTATGAAAACTTATCTGGGTACTATTAAACCTAGAACTAATGGTTCGATAGCATTAAAAAGGTGTTCTGGGTAGAAATGGTTAACACATCATACATAAAAACAGAATTTGTGGTAAGAAGTTGGATGGAAGCTGACAACATATATTCAATTTTTCACTTAAATCAGACATGATCGGCTTCTGCTAAACAATGCATGACAGATATCCCTTCGCTCTATCTGCCTCCAAGATTCACATCCTATGCCACATGCATTTTTTTCAGAGATGAGCAAAATAGAAGACACAGAGGTGAAGATAAAAGTTAAGAACATGATCGAGGCACTTACCAGAGGAAGACAATCCGGAAGAACTGCCCAAGTTGGGCTTTTTTGATGACTTCTGCACACCCAAACTTCTGGCAGCACATCTACAGAAAAGGAAATACAGCTTACTTTGAGAGTGAATTTAGGTGATGTTAAATAAAATACTGATAAGCCCATGAACAAAAAATAAAAGCCTTTTTGGAACGAAAGAAACACAAGCTTAATAAAAATCTTGACAAGTGAGCATACTTCACTTTATTGGGGGGTGGATGTACAATCCCACCGCCTAGTTCAACACCTCGCAGAAGCGAACTTGGATTCTTATTTATACCGTAGGGGTTCCCCTTACAGTTATCTACCAAATAGGTTGAATAATTTATTTCATAACACGCGGAGGTCACTGATGACCCAATTGTAAGTGTCAAAAAAAAATCTAAAGTTCGCTTCTAGGCATAGCCGGTCCCAAGCCCGGGTAAAGGAGGAGGGTTGTGATAGGCTTGGCGAGCCAACGTAAAAACTAGCCAGTCCCATAGGTATGAAACCCATTTGAGCGAGAATAGTACTAGGATGGGTGACCTCCTAGGAAGTCCTCGTGAAAGGGTTTCATATCTAAGGGTTGTGATAGGCTTGGCGAGCCAACGTAAAAACTAGCCAGTCTTTTGGGTATGAAACCCATTTGGGCGAGAGTAGTACTAGGATGGGTGACCTCCTGGGAAGTCCTCGTGAAAGGGTTTCATATCTAGCCTACCCCAACTTGTTTGGGATAAAAGGCTTCGTAAGTAAGTAAGATCATGGGGAGCACAGTTTTAAATGTGCAAGGGCATCTCCAAAGCCGATCCTCAAGTTGCCCGCAAACATCTGGACCGAGCTGTCCGGACGTAGTTTGCCATCCAACGCCGCCGCATGCAGACATCCGCAGACTCATCCGGCTATCCGAAATCCCGCAAACCGGACGCAAAGCTCCTGTGGGAGCTTTGCGAGCGTCCAGACATCTGCCACATAGGACTCTGACACCCCCGGCCCACACAAAAACCCATCCGGTGCCCGCGTCTCTGTCCCTTCCCCCTTGATCAGCATCTGCTTCCTCCTTGGCCAATGCAGCCGATATACCACCCCGGCCACCCACCAAGGCCATGCCAGACCTCCGCCGCTCCACCTAGTCGCCACACCGCTTTGCCTACGCCGCCGTTGCACCTCTCGCCCGTCCGCTGCACAGGTACCATCCGCCCCTACGGATACCGTCCGTGGGAGTCACCACGCCCGGCAAGTGTTTGGCGAAATGCTTGTGTTAAATTTTGACAATTTTTCTCCCTTCTTTCAAGCAATGGATTCGGACATGGAGTACTAGTAAGTTGCACGTGCATGTTATTCTACTTAAGTAAATAAGAAAATGACGTGAACACGGAAATGAGAACTGCCACGCAATGAACATTTTCTTTTGTTCAGTATGCGACAAACAATTAAATTTATTAAATATCGTATTACAAATAATATTTTCTCATTCTATCCTATTTGTAATCACGTTGGGGTAAGTGCGAGTCTATATTCCTTTTGTCATGTAGGAGGGAATGAAAATTTTCTTTTTGGTAAAATTATTACACGTCGAACGATTCAATTGATGGACAATTTGATCCATAGGAAAATTGTCAAATGCATGGCAGTTTGATATCATTTTATCGATCTCACATTTTTGTAATCTATGTATGTTAATATTCACAAGAAAAAAATTGGTGTATGATTTAATAGTAACGGTTTCAGTTTGACAACAGTAAAATGTCATGTCTCAGTTCTTCTTCACTGACAGAGCCATTGTAGTAGTTTATTTAAAAAGCTATTGTAGTAGATAATGTCACCATGCACTTTGGTTGTACGGTATGCTATAATGTCATCATGCACACAAGATCTTGAGAGATGTGTATGACCGTGTCGGCCTACCGGCTCACAACCCCAATTCACCTGTGCTAACCGCGGAAGGTGAAACTTTATTGTTGTCGTGATGTACGTGTCTAGCGACTTCAACAGACAAGTTTGTGCGCGTGAACGCATGGTGGCGAATCCAGTCATTTCCAACCGTCCAATCTATTGAGTAGTGTTGTGATGAGTGGTGGATAGCAACCCTAACTTGCAAATAAACATCTTGGATCAATCCAATGGGAATTTGGTGGGAAGCTGCAGTGGCACTTCCAAGTTTAAAAAATGTGTACTATATAGTGGTACAGACATCTACGACAACTTTGTTGAGTCGTCCAACAACTTGTCTGACGAGGAGGATTATGTGGATGAAACGGCAATGATGTGGGCGGTCCTTGCAGACGCAAAGCGTGCGGAAGGGCGTCTTCTCAATTTCAAGGGATCGATCAAGGGTCATCAAATGCTGAATTGGAACAGGGCACAGGAGCATTTGACGCAGATGGATGACTACTTTGCCCTCGATGCCCTATTCGTGGGCACTTTTCGCCGGCGCTTTCGGATGCGGAAAAATGTGTTCGATCGCCTCTACAATGGCGTCTAGGTCTACGATGACTACTTCATCTTCGAAGGATGATGTAGGAAGAATAAGATTCTCTAGTTACCAGAAGTGCACGGCTGCACTGCGGATGCTTGCATATGGCACGGCCGGAGATTCATGGGACGAGTACCTTCGGATGTCTGAGAGCACATGCGCAAACACCATGGTCAGATTTGCTACTGCGATGGTCGAGGTGTTTGGATCGCAGTACTTGAAAGAACCAGCTGACGCAGACACCGAAAGGCTCATGGCACCCTCGAAAGCAAGAGGATGGCCAGGTATGTTCGGATCTCTTGATTACATGCACTAGAGATGGAAGAACCACCCAAATGGTCTACAAGGGCAATATCAGAGCCATGTCAAGAAGCCCACCATCATTCTTCAAGCAGTTCCATAGTTCCATCACAGGTCCTCTGGATTTGACACGTTGTCTTTGGCATGCCCGGGTCTCACAATGACATCAATGTGTTGCGGCGGTCTCCATTGTTTGCTAGGTTGAGTGAAGGACAAGCTCCTTCATGCAACTATACTGTTAATGGGCTACAACATGGGCTACTATCTGGCTTATGGTATCTATCTCCGTCGGCGACCTTCGTCAAGACCATCTCTGAGCCAGTTGGTTAGAAAAGAGCTAACTTTGCCCAAAGACAAACAAGGAGCTATAAAGGATGTGTTGAGGGCATTTCGAGTGCTCCAAGCCCATTTTGCCGTTGTTCAGGGACCTGCAAAAATATGGGATCCGGAGACCTTGTGGGAGGTGACGACATGTTGTGTGATCATGCATAACATGATCATGGAGGATGAAGGTGAAGATGCTGCCGCAGGTCTGGAATTTAAGAACATGGGTGACCCTATCCAACTTCCACATCATCATGCCACGTTTGATGAGTTTGTCCAAATGCATCAACAAATTTGGCAGCAAGCAACTCATGAGCAGCTTAAGGAAGATCTAATTCAGCATCTGTGGGCGCTTAAACCCTAAACCCTAATGGACCAGTCCGCGAACAAATACTATGTCTGTTCTGAGGGTCGGCGTTGGAGATGACCTAAAGCTGAAAGGAGATCTAGACCCCTATTGTGGTTTTGGAGTTGATAACACGTGATTAGTTGCATTAATGGTTCAGTGAAGTGTTAACACATGTTTTAGTCCAATGATGAAGTGAACGAATATTGGCCCATGAGGCATATTTTAGTCCATCCATATTGGCCCATGAGGCCCAGGCCCATTCAGTCAAGTGACTGGCGACCTAGATAAGGAGAGGCACGAGGCTGTCTACCTCTGAGCGCCATCACACACCAAACAGACGTTGCCTGGTACGTCTCCCTCAGCCTAGATGGTATCAGAGGGCTGGGCCTGAGGAGACGGCAGCAGATCTAGGCAAGCAGCAAATGAGGCGAGCTCGTGGCACGGAGAAGCGTGCTCAACGACGGCGGGGCTGGTTCTTTGCTGCGCCTGGACATCTTCTCTCCCTCTAATCTTGCTGTGTCTCTCGAGGAGGAAAGGAGAAGGGGAGAGGAGGAAAAGAAGGAAAGAAAGCAGCAGGAGGAGGACGAACTGGAGCTCCTGGAGTTGGGCAGCTGCTGAATACTGCTAGTTGCAGGCTATTGTTGCTGCTGCTGGGAGCTGCAGCTGCTGATTGCTACTGATTGGAGGAGGTGGTGTTGTGCTGCTGCTGCTGCTGGTTGGAGTTGGAGCTGCTGGTACTGCTGGCTCACATAGCAGAGGCTCTCTTAGCTAAGTGAGTAGCTAAAGTGAGTGATCCTGGTGGTGGTGTGTTAGCGACCTGGGCCTCGCTAGGCCTCAGCCAGGACCTGGCCCACAAGGAATACATGGACTACATATACAAGGGAGGCAGCTACACGCAAGTCGGCTTGGACCGAACGGCGGCTTCGGCCGATAGGCTGGCTTATCTTCTTCCTCCTCCTACTTTAATTCCCCTTCCTCCTTCAACCCCTCATGTAATCTGAGCTTGTAATCAAATCCATGGAGATTGAGTGAATTAGTGAGAGAGACCCTCACAATTGGTATCAGAGCCGTTCGATTCTGCCCCAAAAATCCACCCAAAATTTTCCCAATCAATTTCATGGACTCACGACGGCGCGCGGAGCTCCTGGCTACTCACTCACCAGAGGGTCGGGCGGCGTATGAGGTTTTCCGGGCGCAGCTAGCTCGTGATCTGGACCGGCGCCTTGCTGAGTCCAAGGGGAGGCTAGAGAAGGGCGTGGAAGCGGCGTTCGGAGACCTCCAAACTAAGCTAGACAGGACTATCGGCAACCTTCGCTGGCAGGCGCGTAGCGATGACAGCCCCAGATGCTGCAGCGGAGGCCTCTGTTTCATCGGCGACGAGCTCTACACCGTCTCTACGTCGCACCGCCTCCATCACCAATTGGGACGCGGCCCCTGTGCTTGCGGCGACACCCACGCGTGCCACCGCAGCAGTGGCGTCGGCTTCATCAACGACGAGGTCGGTCGCGTTTCCGCCTGTTCTGCGCGGCACCGTCTCCGCCATCCGTTCGACCACGACATCCGCAGCCACACCTCTGCGCGTCGCCGTACAGACCTGCGTGCTGGACGGCTCACTCGATCCCACTGCG